AGCAAAGTAATAAGTTCGTACAAAGGATTCGTTCTGCAGTCATTAGTATTTTACGGCCATTTTGATTCATCGATGTTAAGTTTAGTTTATCATCCTATTTGTATTGTTTTATGGGCATTGTAATTAAATTAGTTTGTAGATTTCTATTATTTTTTTTTTCAGATGAGTTTGTTTTTTTTAATTGGATTTAAAAAGTATTATTAGGTCTTTAAGTACTACCCGTGCGGTTAAAGAATGAGATTGAAAATGGCGTCGCCTCTATTCACCTCTCGCTCGCACACTGTTGCTATCTATACTCACACCCGTCGGTAAAGACTGCAAAAAAATACGTTGCTGTATGCGTTTTTCGTACGTTATATAACTTTAGTCGTTGGAATCAAAGATAACAAAATGCCATAAATTACAAAAAAAAAATCAGTCCGGTTTTGCTCATTTGCATAGAGTATAATAAGTATATACAGGAAAAGAGAGCCCTCTGACGATATTTTATTGCAGACAAAATTGAACTACTAGCGTCTCCTACAAATTGAATCCGAACTAATTCGCTATATATAGCTATATTATGTACATCATATTAATTTAACTATTATGTTCTTTAATTCGCATACTTACTGAAACAATTTTTACTTTTTTTGTAAAATAATTTATACTTTTAATATTAAAAGTAGGTAAATAGTTTCAATAAGTACACTTGTATTTGTGAGATAATAATATATAAAAAGGGTATTTGCAATCTTACAGGAATGACAATTTAATATGACAATTATTTCATTTTTTATTTTTATTTTTTATTTTTATTTTTTATTATAAAATGCTGGTTGCCAGTATCATAATTGTCATATTTATCGATTGATTCGATAATTATTACGTGTTTTTATGTTAAAATTATAATTTTTTATCAATAAAATCACCAATAATTTTTTGGTGCACTTATTTTTATTTTGTAAGTAAATTTCATTTTATTTTTCCAAAGTAGCGACATCTGTGACGCCATAAGACCAACTATAAACAAATTATTTTTGGAAACAAATTATGGATGGCGACACCATCCATTAAATTTTTGTGGTTCAAGGCAACTGTCCTACGCCTGCTCATTTGTGAGCTAAACGCGTTTTGAAAGTTAATATATATAGGTACATAATTTACATAGTTTTTGTTCATATTGTTTGTTGATATTTTTGTATAAGTATAATATTCACATGTCATTGAGACATGTGTAACAATTTTTAAAACTTTCGTTTGTCTCTCTGTCAAAGCTAATCTTCGGAATGACTGAACCGTTTGTAATAAAACTTCACAAACAAACAAATAGAGAGTAATACCAGGAGTGATCTAGACTAAATTTTATTCGAAAAATTTAGAGATTTTACTAAAATAGAAATATTGATAAGATAAAATTAATGGTCTTTAATGATATAACGCCACATTATTAGATCCTACCCAGGCAAAGCCAGAGCGGGTCGCTATTGATAAATGTCATTTTAAAATGAATATACTACTTGGCATAATATAGCATATACAGCCATAATACTCGAATTTTTAACGTATACATGACGATGAAAAAGATTCAAATGGAAAAAGATGAAAATATAACGTTATTCAATAAACAAATGACTAATTTTGAAAGAGAATTCGATGTTTTTAAATAAAAAATAATAATTTTAAATTTGAATTCTTAGACAAAGAAAAATTATTTTGATTTAAAATGGCTAGTACTGCAGAACGGCAATTTCATTAATGAAGGCCTATTAGTTCATTAAAAACTTCATTCCCGTATCCTATGGCGTGAATTTTTTTCTACCAATTAATTTGGGACCACCCCCGAACTTTCCATTACTAAACATATGCCTCTCCCATAGATTGGCACAAAGTACGCTCTTGAGCCACCCGCATCCTTCGACTGTTTGTGTGTTTCATCAGGTCGTCACTCCGTCAGTGAGGCTCACCCAACACTGCGCTCGAGAACCTTTCCGCCCCATCGAGTGCTGATATTACCTATATAACCAGCCCGTTGCCACTTACTTGCCAGGTTACCGGTACGCTAGGCTACGTTATGTATGGTTACTCTCGTTCTTCTGAGAATATCCTCGTTACGGACTTTTATATCTTGCAGAGAAATTCCGATTATAGCTCTGTCCATTGCACACTAAGTGACTTTGAGCTTCCTCATACGGCCAGCAGTCAATGACCATGTTTCAGTTCCATACGTCATTACTAGCATACGCACTGATTGTACACTTCCATCTTAAGGTTTTAAGGAATATCAAACAAGAAGATTTGTCGCAGTTTCCCGAACCAGCCCAGCCGAGCTGGATTTGTCGGTTGACGTCGTTGTTGCTCGAAGTTGGATTTACCTAATCGGACATTTTGTCCCAGGTACACACGTCAGCAACTTCGAGCGTAGTGTTACCCAACCCAACAACTACCGGTATAGGTGTAAGGTAGACGTTACACGTGAATTTTGTTTTATCCATGTTCATCTGAAGTTCTTAAGTCACCTGTTGGGAAGCAATGCGTTCGCGTTTCCCGTTTCTTAGTAGTTGAATATAGTGCAGGTCCAAGGATTCTGCCATAATGCCATAACTATATCGTATTATTTATGAAACGCATCAAAACATTATCACACATATAAATTATGGGAAAAATAATATTATGTATAAGGGAGTAAAAATACTTAATAAATTAGCAAAGCAAATAAAGGAAGCAAAAACAGTAAATTTTTATTTGGATAAATGAACACTTCTACTAGTTTCACAATATTATCAAAATTTCATCAAAATTGTAAACCTCCTCCTTTTTTTGAAGTCGGCTACAAAAAAATAAACTTTACACCTATTATATAAAACTTATAATCTGTTATTAAAATGTAGCTACTATAAGTACTAATACGAGCGACTATTCAGCATAAAATATTTATAGGCTGAGTCAAAAATAAGGGAACCCTAATATTAAGGTTCGAATTAAGTGAAGGACGAATTCTCGTTTTAAATATTTATTTAAATATATTCTATTTTCTACATTAAGAACATATTTTAATAAATAAATCAAACCCAACCAGATGGAACCCAACAGCGATGGGGAGCAGCGTCAAGGGTGTGAGACGATCGTAGTCTACGTGCCTGCCAAACGTAACGATTATTGGCATTTTGTACTTACAACAGGAGAAGGATATGTCCAGCATTGCACTTTTACGGGTTGATCCAGGTATATTATACAGACAAATTTTGAATTTAATGGAGCCGTGGTTAATTAAAATATAAAAAGGGCTTAAGCGCTCGCTGTAAATATCACAGAACGCGAGCAACCTGGGTTCGATCGCGGCCGGCACCAATGAAGTTGTTAATTGCAATTTTAAGTACTGATTTACAACGTACTCGGCGGTAAAGGAAAACATCGTTGAGGAAACCTGAATGTCTGAGAAATAAGAAAAAAATATTTCGATGACGTGAAATTCGCCAACACGAATTGGGACAGCACGGCGGACATTTCCTTGCCCAAAAACCCTCTCAGAAATGACAGAAGGCATGTGCCCAGCCGTGGGACGTATATAGGCTGAAATTGTTAACTTTAAGGCAAATCTAAATAATAAGTAATGTCATGGACTCATGGATACTATATGAGAGTATTGAAGAATATTAGAATCGTTGCTTCAAAATTAAGTTCGTTAAGGGTCAACAGCCAGACGCAGCACGATCCTTTGTTCGTATGCTGCTCCATTCGGGACGTTTACAGGACTTAAAATTATCCCAACAATTCCGCATTATTAAATAGATTTCTGTCAATTTTTAATTCCATCTACATTATATTTACATTGTTTTAACCTCCTTTTCACCTTACAATGTAGTTTTGTTACATAATGGGAAAAGATTTTCAATAAGCTAAAAATATCGGCGGGCCGTTCGCTAAAAATATAAACTTGGGTATTTTTGACAACGATACAGTGGATTTGTGATAGGTCATGATGACGATATTGATTAAAATTTAATCTATGAAATAATGGTAATATAATGGCATCAGCAAACGCACAAAAATGTTTCTAAGGTTCGCAAGTACCTAAAACATAAAGGTTAAGTGTTGTGTTTGTGTACACAGAGGAAGACCATTACTCGTACAGTAGAATTTTTACTCAACCTTGGCCGATTCTTTGTTTATAACGGTGGACCGGTTTTGAATAAATCCTGTTTTATTTGGCCTCTTAAAAATGGGATAGTTGCCTATGGTGGCGGATAGTAGCCTAGCGTAGAAAATGTCCCCCAAAAAAAAAGTATCCCCTATACTTGCCTCGTGCGGGGATAGTCACCTCGATATAATTTTTTTGAATGGAAACAAATTTATATTAATTTAAGTAATCTTTATTATTTATTTATGTCTTTATAATTTACTGACATCTTTTATTAAGTACAACTTAAAATATTAATTAACATTATTAAATATTTTTCAGTTTTAATGATTTAAAATATAAAAATATTATTTAAACTTAAATCATTAGTTATACTATATTAGTAAAATATTAGCATTTGTCTTAAAGTGCTAAGTTCTCTTCTGTCCAGCTGAAGTGGCGTGGCACCGCGCCTGGTATGCGCTTATGGCAAGGCATTTTGCTCACCTAGAATGAATATATGAAGCAGTTAAGAATTAATTTTGTTTAAATTAAGTTATAGTCACAGTAAATTGGAAATAACAAGAAAAGAAAAAAATCTGCCTTTGCTCGTTAAAGAATTCATAGTCACTCTAGCGGCAACTAGTCGCGAAAGTAAGTAGGGAGACTATCCTTTTTGATGCGGATACTTGCTCTTTTTATTTATAAAATAAATAAAAACTATTCAGTAATAAAACAGAATAAACAATCTAATTTAAACTCTAATGCATGCAAAGAAACAAAAAGTTGACTGAAAACACGATTAGTAATAAAAATATTCAATAAAAATGACTTACCAAAATAATTTCAACGCCTGTCAAAGTTTCGCCGCGGAAGATTTTCGCTCACACGGACAAAACACATGCGCCTACTAAGATGTAGTCAAGTGCTAACACAACTTATATTCATGACAGTGTATTCAAAACCGAGGCATGTATCCGTCTGAGGCAACTATCCGCCTTTTACCCTATATCTACATCCGTGATTCGTACTTATTACCACGGTTTTTTGTTTATTTCTCTGTCGTTCCGGGTGGAATCTCGCAACTAAAATTTCAAACACTTCCGGGTTAGTTAGAGACTTGAAATTTTGAACATAGCTCAAAATCGGATGACAATGTATGAATATGAAAAAAAAAAACTGGTAAACTTATATTAAATTATTTTTTAATACAAAAGTTTTAAAAAAATCACTTGTTTATTCAGTTATCCATAAACGAAATATCGACAGACGATTTATCTCAATAATTATTACCGCTAAGAAATAAGAAGTGTTTACTATAATGAAATAGCTAATTAGCGAAGCAGAGTATGCACTACGTTTTACAGCGATCAACATGAGACCGAGGTCTTTAACCCTGGTTCACTTAGACAGCTGCTTCTGTGTTGCGGACTCGCAAAGGCGAGACTAGGATCAGACGGCAGACGACATAGTAAAATAATGATCAGTGAACCCTCTCAACTAAGTAGTTGAGTATGCTTAAAGAATATGCAGTACTGTATTCAAAATTCAAATAAAATTTTAGAATAAGTAGTTATTGGTACTTATCGACATAATAATATTCATACAGACGCTGCATAATAGAATGGCTTTGGAGATAAATAGTATGTATTGTTACGTAGTACTATTATTTATTCCGTGGTATTGTGTTTAAAAACTTTATATATTTTGTAACTACGTCTACGTATACAGGTGGTGTTCAAATTGAGGGGCCATCTTATAGATTAGCACGCTTACAGCGTTGAGATTTTATTAGGTACGTACCTACTAGCTACGTAACGTAAAGTAAAACTTCATTATACTTCAATTGCTGGCAGCAAAAGTTACAAGCACTAACCGACCTCGAGACAGCTGATGCCATCCAAAGATTGGTAGGCATAGCTATCGAGGTCGGTAGTCAAGTTCTGGCCGATATTAGGGCCGGGACAGATCCCATAACCGCCGTAATGAAGGCGCTGGCAACACTAGTGGCTCAGCATTACGGAGGAGAGTAACCGTAACCTGCGCCTCCTCTATTGGAACCCGGACGGGACACAACACAGGATCCGTGAACTCCGTACAGTCGCCCAACAACAAGACATTCAGGTGATCTGAATTAAATATAATTTTTTATATAAAAGAGAGACAAACGAGCATGCAGCTGATGGTAAAGTGTCAAGCGCCACCGACGAACAACTGCAACACCAGGGGAATTGCAGATGCGTTGCCTGCAAGGAGTAACCTCGTTTCTTGAACGTCCCTAAGTCGTATCGGTCCCGAAAATCGCCGGTGGAACGAGGAAGAAAACTCCTTGTAGGTCACACGTGACGTTAAGTGAGTTTTGTATATATTTCAAATTTCCAAATTTGGCGCCTAAAATTAATCCGAACAATTCCTGAGAGCACTTACCGTGGTAAATGCGATAGAAAATGCAAAGGGATACAAATACGTTATAATATGAATGTTCTAATTTCAAATTACCCTCCACACATGCTTACTGTCTAAATTGGATTATCGTGTTTGATTGAAAAATAGATCAGCGTAGTCGTGAACATTTTCGCGCGATGAGTTTTTACAATTTCAAATATCGCCTAAAACCGACGAACACGGTTAACTAACATTGAAAAGGAAACGTCCTAGCAACTAGTAGTGAAAAATTTAATTGAAAAGAATAGACGAATTACGTAAGGAAAGATTCAGCACATAATGCAGATTCCATCGGGAAGCGTTTACAAACATTTTTATGAACACTTTCGCATGAAGAGAATAATTTAGCGATAGGTGCCGCACAACCTTATTGATGCTCAAAAGCAAAAGAGGTTCAGTAACATGATGCTCCTGGAAAGTTTTTTTTAAGGTTTAATAATAAACACCTTAATCATAGATTTATAGGAGGTAAGGAAAAGGACCTAAAACTTGAAAACGACCCGTGTAGTGTATGTTACGAGATATCTTTGTAAACTGTAAACCGATTTTGATGATTCTTTTTTAATTAAGCAATTTATATATACTTCAGAGGTTATCCCATATAAATATGGAGAAAATATTCCACTACTACGGGTTGCAAAATTGAATGTATGAAGTTTTTATTGGAATTATTTGAAGAATTAAGAAGAATTTGAGATTGTGATATTCCTTAGACCACTCAAAAGGGTAATGCGGTCAAGTGCGAGTCGGACTCGCGCATGAAAGGTTCCGTTACATCGCAATACACGTTTCTAGTAGGGGAGTCCCTTTTAATGTATAATTTATTAAACATCTTATTATTTGTTGTTATAGCGGCAACAGAAATACACATTCTGTGAAAATGACAGACAGACGGACTGAAACGGACAGCGGAGGCTTAGTAATAGGGGCCCGTTGGTTACTCTTTGGGTACGGAACTCTAAAAGATAGGTTTTTAATAAAAAGTAAAAGCCGACTTCAGAACTAAAAAAAATCACCTTCTGAAATCGCTTTAATAGTTTTAATTTAGAATGACTCAACAAACACAAACTTCCGAATGTGAAATTATTTTATTCTTTAAAGTTCTCTAGTCTGTTTTTATTTTATGCTTAATGTTTTATTGTTGGTAGGTATGTTTATAACGATGAACGATAAACGATCCGATGATATCTTAGAAATTGGATTTTTATCTTTTTTATTTAGAATCGATAGAGATCCGTAGATAATTTAAAATTTACCAATTGTTGATTAAACTATCCAATGGATGTTTTTCGTTTTGTTCTCGAACGTTCGTTTTCGTATTTCTGTAATGAGGTGTCCATTAATTTCGTGATGCGTTACGGGGGGAGGGAGAGGATCGAGCCTAATCCCACCAAATATCACGTCGGAGAAAGGAAGAGTTTTGGCAAATATCACGTAATTTTTTCCGCAAGAAACGATTTTAAACGGCCAAGTAAATATATGTATTTATATAAATCTTTGATTCGCTCAAATTGAATATGCCATCTCAGTGTGGGATCCCTTTTACAAAAAATACTCAGACCGCCTTGAAAGAGTGCAAAAGAGCTTCCTACGATACATGCATTTCAAATGTTCTCATAGTAAATTGTCTTACTGAAAATTGTTACAACAATAAAAATTATTTAATCTAAAAACTAGAAGGTTACAATTACAAGTTAAGCTATTGTACGACTTTTGTAATAATAAGTACGATAGTATTGATATAGTAGATAAGTTATGTTTTAAAGTACCAGTCAGATCACACACTCGAGCATGCCGTACATAATATAAACTATTTGCTACACCTTGTCTCGGACGAATGCTGGGAAATGTTCACCATTGATGACTGAACAGCTATTTCACTACCCTAGATATATTTGCAACGAATGTTATTTTATTTCGAAAATCAGTTTTCTTTAATCTGTCGCGGGAATTCAACACCACGCAATTTGATTGAATTAAATCCATAGCCAGCGTACTTAAAAGAAATACTAACTTTTAGCAAAAACACGCAAATTTTTCATTTAATAATTTGTGGTTAACGGTGTTGGTTTCACAATTATTCCATTAGGATGTGTATGTATATTATTTGTAAAATTATTATAGTGAAACTGTTTGTTGACCCAAATAAAAGAAAAAAAAAGAAAGAAAAAAGAATCAGTTGAAAATTGTGCAATAACTGCGTTAAATTAAGTAAAACATGTTTCTCTACTTTTACTTCACTGAAATGTGGCTAAATCCTACACAATGATGTTCACGATTATGAGACCCTCATTGATTGTCACACGCGGAGCTACTGAGCTTCTGTCACAGAATAAATAATAGTACCTTCTGTGTGCAAGCGACAACGGCTTAGAGTGTCTGTGTCAGCGAGGTTGAAGGAGCAGCAGATTTCACAGAAAACCACATGGACATGTTAGTTCCAGCAGTCATATTTGAGACGACATTCCTGGTGGGCTGAATTAGAATGAATTTTCTTATACGAATTTTAATAGTTACTATTAAAGAATTTTCTTGTTCGATTTTCTCACTGATTCTAGACCAGGTTCTTTCTTAGTAGTCTTAAATAGCCTTAAATAAAAATAATAATGCAAATTATTGTTTTTTTTTTCTTATAAATCCAAAGCAATTGGACACAGAATAACGTATTTGTTCCGATCTTAACCACTAGGTCACTGAATTCTTCTCCTGCCGTCGCCGAATGATTACTTAAACAAAATGTAAATGCGTATACAAAGAATTTTCCATTTCATGAAATATCATCAAAAGATGTTTTAAAATATTTTAAAACTATTGATATTAAGAAAACTACAGATCTGTGGGGGATTTCCGTTACAGTTATTGCGTCTATAATAGATATAATCGCGCCTCAATTAGCTATTATTTTTAATACTAGAATCGAATATGGTATGTTTCCTGATTTAATGAACCATAGTAAAGTAATACCTTTATTTAAATCTGGTAGTATATTAGACCCCGCCAATTTTAGACGAATTTTTTTACTGCCAATTGATTCTTCAAAAATTATTCTTAATCAAATGTAATTTTTTTTAATGTAAATAGTTTATTTCATAAAAATCAGTTCGGTATCACAACGGGTCGCTCGACAACTGATGCTGGTGTTGAGCTGATTTTCAATGCATGGGAGAATTCATAGGATGCTTTGGGTATATTTTGTGACCTATCCAAAGCCTTCAATTGTGTTCACCATGAAACATTAATCAGGAAACTACAACACTACGGTGTAAGAAGTAATGCTCTTAAATTAATTGTTTCCTATTTAAGTAACAGAACGCAAAACGTTTTCATTACTAGTATGAGCTCTTCCGGGTCGATACTATTAATGGGCGTGCCTCAAGGCTCACTTCTCGGCCCCTTTCTCTTTCTTGTATATATCAATGACTACTACGACTATAGTAGGGGGTAACCATAATATAGTATTATTTGCTGATGACACTTCATTAATTTTCAAATAAAAACGGCAACTATTAAAATATCACCACCATTTTTCTTGGAAAAACACTAGACGCAAAGTTTCAATGTAGCCCCCATATATCAAAATTAGCAAGCAGACTTAGTTTTGCAGCATATGCTGTAAAAAAATTAGATATCTTACCAGTGTGGAAACAGCTAATCTTTTTTACTTTAGCTATTTCCATAGCATAATGTCGTATGGTATTTTGCTATGGGGACACGCAGCTGACACTGAAATTATATTTGTTTTACAGAGGCGGGCCATAAGAGTAATCTATGATTTAAAACCTAAAGAGTCGCTCCGACAAAAATTTAAGGAAATTAATATATTAACTTGGGCTTCTCAATACATTTGTGAAAATGTAATGTACGTACACAAAAATAAAGGTAGTTATACAAATATAAGTGATATTCATTCTGTAAATACTAGGAACAGATACAAGCTAGTAGTACCAGCTACTGGACACCACCGAATCGGTAATTCATTCTTGGGGCGATGTACGCTTTTACAACAAAATTCCAGAAAATATACAAAATTTCACCTGCTTAAAGTCCAAAAACTTTATTAAACACAGTTTGTATAAAAAGGGTTATTATAATATTAAGGAATTTATGGATGATAATAACCCCTGGGAATAAGGTGATCGCTACCAAGCTATTTCTAATTTGTTTTGTGTGGTTAATTGTGTAACATATACATATATATGATTGTAAGCTGTTATTTAAAAAAGTCTGCAGAGGTCCCGCTGGGTTTCTTGCTGGTTCTTCCCAGAACAGACGTTTTTTTAACGGTGGTAATTAAACAAAAGAGTGACTTTCAATAAGTATTATTTATAATCTATATAGAATAAAAAAGTTTCTGTTTCTATTAGTATACTGATGAACAAACTGAAAAACAAACTCACTACTCGTGATTATCACTATGATTTAAAACCTAAAGAGTCGCCCCGACAAAAATTTAAGGAAATTAATAAATTAACTTGGGCTTCTCAATACATTTGTGAAAATGTAATGTACGTACACAAAAATAAAGGTAGTTATACAAATATAAGTGATATTCATTCTGTAAATACTAGGAACAGATACAAACTAGTAGTACCAGCTACTGGACACCACCGAATCGGTAATTCATTCTTGGGGCGATGTACGCTTTTACAACAAAATTCCAGAAAATATACAAAATTTCACCTGCTTAAAGTCCAAAAACTTTATTAAACACAGTTTGTATAAAAAGGGTTATTATAATATTAATGAATTTATGGATGATAATAACCCCTGGGAATAAGGTGATCGCTACCAAGCTATTTCTAATTTGTTTTGTGTGGTTAATTGTGTAACATATACATATATATGATTGTAAACTGTTATTTAAAAAAGTATGCAGAGGTCCCACTGGGTTTCTTGCTGGTTCTTCCCAGAACAGACGTTTTTTTAACGGTGGTAATTAAACAAAAGAGTGACTTTCAATAAGTATTATTTATAATCTATATAGAATAAAAAAGTTTCTGTTTCTATTAGTATACTGATGAACAAACTGAAAAACAAACTCACTACTCGTGATTATCACTATGATTTAAAACCTAAAGAGTCGCCCCGACAAAAATTTAAGGAAATTAATAAATTAACTTGGGCTTCTCAATACATTTGTGAAAATGTAATGTACGTACACAAAAATAAAGGTAGTTATACAAATATTAGTGATATTCATTCTGTAAATACTAGGAACAGATACAAGCTAGTAGTACCAGCTACTGGACACCACCGAATCGGTAATTCATTCTTGGGGCGATGTACGCTTTTACAACAAAATTCCAGAAAATATACAAAATTTCACCTGCTTAAAGTCCAAAAACTTTATTAAACACAGTTTGTATAAAAAGGGTTATTATAATATTAAGGAATTTATGGATGATAATAACCCCTGGGAATAAGGTGATCGCTACCAAGCTATTTCTAATTTGTTTTGTGTGGTTAATTGTGTAACATATACATATATATGATTGTAAACTGTTATTTAAAAAAGTATGCAGAGGTCCCACTGGGTTTCTTGCTGGTTCTTCCCAGAACAGACGTTTTTTTAACGGTGGTAATTAAACAAAAGAGTGACTTTCAATAAGTATTATTTATAATCTATATTGAATAAAAAAGTTTCTGTTCCTATTAGTATACTGATGAACAAACTGACAAACAAACTCACTACTCGTGATTATCATCAGTCCGTCGGTTGTGTCTCGAGTTGAGTTGAGTGTTAGGTTGAGTTGAGAATTGGGTTTATTGTTGGGTTGAGTGTCCTCCCAACCAAATTTCTGTCACAGCGGCCAGTCTCAACGGAGACTAGCCCATCAGCACAGTGCAGAATTATAGTATTCGAATGTATGCGCAAGCACAGGTGCATTCTTATTCCCTTACAATCATCAAATACCGACACGGTCCGAGAGACCTTAGGCGCAGGACCAATAATTTACACATAATTTAATAGATTCTAATGTCAAAGCCTTAATTCTTCGACACACTTTGTCTTTGCACTGTTTGGACAGCTGAAACCAGGCCCTTTGGTGACTACCACATTAGTGTAATAATAAAAGCGTACGATTTATTTGCATTTATAACATTTTAAAAGTGATATAAAATGCGTAATAAAACAAAAAAACTACACAAGAAAAAGGAGTATAATAAGGCCTATGGTGAAATTTAGTAGGCCTTAATAACCGCCGACCAAGTATTTAAGAATAACCAAACAATATTTTTTACGACGTTACTGAAATCTTCAGGATCAACAAAGCATTTATTCAAAAAGATAAAGATTACAATTTTAGATAGCTAAGTGTAATATTACAAAACATACCTACGATTTATTTGGACTGATTTTTATTATTGTTGCAGACCGATCGTATCTCATGATAGGTAATGCAACTCTGGTGGTAGGATGCGGGGTCGTGCGTCTCTGCAAAATTGTAGAGACATTATAGTGCAATAGGAGTCTGTTATTATCTCCTTAAGCGAGTGCGGTTATTATAAATACGATTTTTGTTACTTAGGCATTATTATTATTAACCAACAGGCCTTATTACCCGCAGGCACCTTGTGCAAAAAATATATGATATGTCTTCGAACATCCATACAAATACTTCTATGATGGAACGTTTTCTCGACGTGAGTTCTAATATTAATGAATTACGTACTTATTGAATTTAAACAGACTGTAGATAACTATAATTCGCATTTATTTAGAATAAACGCTATCGCTAAGCCTGACTATAACAGCCTCATTACGTTTGAGTCTCTTTACGGTAGAATAAATCGGCTATATTTACAATATTCGCAGTCTAGTTCTTTACAAAATCCTAGTGTCCCATGTAAGGCTAGGCTTACACTTCCGCCTATCGAACTTATGACGTTTTCGAGTGACATTCGCTCATGACCTTTATTTTATGCCAGCTTTAAATCCGTCCATGACAACCCGTCTTTCACTGACGCTGAAAAGTTATATTATTTGCTAGGTAAACTGACGGGCTAGACTGTCTGTGTGCTCAGGTGTAACTCCATGCGCTGAAAATTATAAAACTTTATTGCAAGCACTCATTGATAAATACGAAGACAAGCGTATGCTAGTCTCCGCGTATATAAATTAGATGTTCGAGTTTAAGCCATTTTTTTTAAATGCGTGAAGAGTAACAATGCATATGTGAATTGTCTCAGCTTAAGCCATCGAGTATCTAATTGCTCTTCAAATTTTAAAAACTTCAAAGTTGTCGAGTTTGTAAATTTAAGCATCATACATTGTTGCACTTCCAGCGTGGTAGCGATAATTTTTCCTCTGAGCTGCTTCAGCCTCAGCCTCAGCAACCTGTGCTGAAGTCTACAGGTCCCGCGGCCACAGTGCCCGCATACTCGCCACCTCTCACCTCGGGTGCGTGTTCAGACGTCGCGCTGTGTACTTCGTTCACGAATGTTTCTCAACATTCACCGCCCCCCGCGCGCGCAGGTCGTTCGCAAA